TAGCGACCTGGTCGGGCGTCGTCGTCGTATCGAGATGGAGGACATAATAATCGTTTAATGCGTAATCTCGTGCCGGTCTGGATCCATGAGCCAAAGCCGTGAAGCCGGCGAGGCTTAACAGCGAAGCAATCTTCATGATGCGAAAGGAAAAAAGAAACCTTGCGGCGCAAGGGGAGGTGGGAGGTCGAGAAGCTGTTTAACACATCCAGAGAACCGCTATCGAACGGAACGTGAACTGGAGCAAACGGAGATATTAGCTTCGAGGTTGAAAGAGCGAAGATTGAATGGCGGCGACAGCGACGGGAGTTGCCACGCGGAGGGTCTATATTCGTGGTGGCTAAGGGGATCAAGAATGCAAATCAATGCTGCTACGTTTCCGTACCACCAGCGTAAGATTGTTGGCGCACGTCGCACAGCTTATGCTGGTCGGGAAGAACGGTTTCTTTATTATCGTACCTCGAAAATGCAACGTAATCAATCAAGGTTTTCGGAGAAGCTGGGATGTTTTGGAAAAAAAGGTTTAAGGAGGGAACAAAGAAGATGGGGTTGGGGTTTGGGATGCTCTCGTGGTGATGCGTGGCCTCGAACGCTACCGCCCAAAGTTCCTGACAAAAATAGGGGACCTGCACTGGAGCCGCTGGTGGTGCGTGGCCTAGAAGGGGGATCAGCCCGGGGGGATCAGTCCGCTAAAGGACACACGGCCACCTGCCGGATATGCCCCTAGCTGCGCCACAAGTGGACATGGGCCAGTTTGCAATACAACATAAAGTATCACGTTTTTAGTTTTTGCATTTGGTTTAAGACGAGATCTGCACCCAGAGAATGCTAAAAATATTGAATTCTCTTCAAATACCAGTCTTTCTGTTACTTCATCATCATGGCCTGCCTTTATTCTTCTGCCTATTCTCACAGCCCGGCATCATCATCTTCTCATCCTAAACGCCACAACTCCGCCACTCTTGACAGATCTCAAACACTCAGACTCAAGATTAGACCAGATCTGGACCCGTGCGTCGCATCCTCCAACCAAAACCGCACCTCAATAAGCGGCTCAATAGAGGCACGGTCCCTGAAACATGTCACCTGAAGAATGTGGTTGCCAAGCAGTAAAATAAACATTTCTTTAAAATTAAGTCTAACACCGGAACTCGCTCTAAGAGATCTCATTCCATAGTCTATCGCCCCAACGCCATTTCTAAAACCGACCATCCCGTTTTTTAAATCGTTATATGAGCGCTCATAGGGACTCTTCTTTGTGAATCTCAATGCTGGGCGGTGCTCCTGTGAGAGCCTTGCATTGAGCGTACACCACGAATTGAGCGCCGACGAGACCACATGTCATGACGAGACGAGGTCCTAGTCCTGTGAGGAGTAATCGCTTGGGTCCGAATTCCTTTGCAAGTTGGAACATGCGACTTGTCGCGCCCTGGCTCTTATCACCAGCGCCCTTGTTGATGGCTGACAAGAGGGTATCGGCAGGGTGAGAGAGAATTGCGGCAGCAGCACCAGCAGTGATACCAGATGTAAGCTCTACTCCAGTTGACTCAAGCTGCGTGAGCTTCTCCTTTCGCTCGGGGCCCATTGCGCGGTAGATGACTTCGTTGACAGCCTCATGAACGGAGAATTGACCGACAGCAAAAGGAATCTGCTTGAACAGCAGGGGAACAAAGCCAGAATAGAAGCCCCTGAAGCCCTCCTCACGCGCCATTCTCGTAAAACCCGATAGTAAACCATTGGCATATCCTTTCTGCGAAACGAGTCGAATTCGGGTGGCCTCAAGCGGACAGAGAAGAATATCAGCAAAGAACTCGGCGGATGCACTGGCAGTGAGATAAACGCCCGTTCGGTGATCAACAGCCTTCTCAGGACCTCCAAGCATAGTAATGTATTTCTTCTTGAAGAACTCGTAACCAGCGAACTTGGCACCGCCCTGTACGAGGTAGCCCACAGCAGTTGGACCGAAGCCAGTCAGTAGCGCCGAAGCGCCCTCCTTGGCGACGATGCTGCGACCGGCTGAGAGCATGTTGTATCCCTTCAAGGCATCGTCGACCTGGATCCGTGTCTTGACGACATCAATTGGCGTGACGGCCTGTTATCTAGTTAGTTTGCGATTGTGAGCATGTGAAGCATGCGACTTACACCGTGAGTAGACGTCGCAGCGAGGGCGCCTGCGCCAAAGAACTTGACATAGTCGCTGATGGTGAAGTTTGGCACTTCCGACTGTTTCGTAGCCATGATGAATGTCGCTCAATTGCTGAATCTGCCTGCTCCAAAGCTGTGTTGATCTGAATGCGCGTTTGTTGTGTTTTATGTTTTTCGCTGGAATGATGACGTCGTTGCTCATGTTCCGTAGCTACCGAGGAGCCACGCTTGATCTTGCAGCCGGTTTTGCCGTCATCGGTCCGCTTTGACCCTTTTGGGCGTTTTCTAGCTTGCTTTACGAGAATTGCGTCGATAAGGGCAATCATGCAGCTGAGTTTTATTATCCCTTCTTAGATAAGTAGGATTTTCTTATTTGGAGTCGGCCATCCCGGGCTTTTGCAGCTGGTATCTTTAGGCTGCGTCTTTGCTTGGCTCCCGTGAGACCCTCCATCGGCGGCCCGGATTTGAGGTGGGGTCATCGGCACCGACATTGGCATCGGCTTCAGGATATAACGCGACGGCGAGTGACATCACATCACAATCCCGCGGGGTTACCATGGAATTGCGGTCGCTCTTCAGCTGCCAATTCCGTTTTTGTTGACAATTGTTGTTTGGCCTTTCTAGTCTAACTATGTGCTACTTATTCCCGACTGCTCCGGGTGGCCGATGAAGAATTCCTGAAACCGGATGAGATCGCGAACATTTATTTATAGCTGACGCAGAGATAAAATACCATGGTATCCATTGGACCACATCCGATGTTAGTGACAATAAGAATTGAACTGAGAGTCGTTTGCCGTTCTGTCAGCCATCTATAGCCGGGACTGTAGGGTACCTTGGCGGGGGACTGAATCATCATGGTTTCTTCGATGTTGCACAATTGTATCCGACTACAGGCGCTGACTTACGTACCGCCGGTCTGGTCATAGAATGCAATGGTGTACACAAAAGGCAAAGCTAAAGACAAATTTCCCTGGTCCCAATGCTAGAAAATGCCCTTCATTATTCGAATTCTTCAATACGCCGGCCTATCTTACGAGGATCCAGTTGCACCCTATCTCGCGTAGCCTTGTTATACGACTCTCTCTGCGAGTTAGCTTCAAGGCAAGATGGCCGAGCGGTCTAAGGCGCTGTGTTCAGGTTCGATTCGAACTAGTAACGATTCGCAGTCTCGAAAGGGGCCTGGGTTCGAATCCCAGTCTTGTCATTTTTGCAATTCCTCGCTACTGACTGAACCTTTCTTTTTATTCGTGCAATGGATAGATAGAACCACTGATTTATATTCTTTTACTCTTCGACGTTCATGAGTTACCGGGTATGTTGATGAAGTGGCATTATGTTCTTATGACACAGGTCGTTGTCGTTCCGTGCCCAATTGCGGTAATAAGTTGAGAAAAGCCTTTCATTCAAACATATCTTATTGTCGTGGCCTTCTATAGTCTTCTGGATAGCAGCTTCTAAGAGGTTAATGTTCTAATTTATATATCTTGTGTTCAGAGATAAGCTTTGCTATAGCGTTGCTTCCGACAAGAGCAGTAATGATGCCGCCTTGTAATCGAGTTTTTTCACTATCGCCTCTGATTTATTCACAGTAATTCTGTGCTCAACCTCTCCTCAATTTCGGAAAACGAAAAGCTCTTGGCTGACCGCTTCAGTCTTGTGCCTTTGAAGCAGGTTGCAGTGCCTGAGAAGACGACTCTGTCCGGAACTCTTAACATCCGAAAGCAAAGCATCCTCGGTTACTCACAAGATGCCTTGATGTATAGGACATGAAGTAGCATCCAATATGCTTCAAATGTCACCTCTCTGGCTATTCCAAGGCGGTTATGCTCGGGCCAAGGCTCTTCGAGGTGTTGAAGGTAGCATCGATAGTGGTTGAGATGTTGAAAACATACGATATCTCAACATCGGAAAACAACTTCCAGAGATAGAAGGGCAGTAAAACACGGAGATGAATAGAATAACTGTTTCGCCATAGACATGTGAAGTCGTCAATGCATCTCAAAACGGCACTTAGGACTTTTAAAGGTCCAGACTGGCCAGATTCAGCAGGTCGGATAGTCCCACGGCAAGCAAACCGACCAATGATACAACACCTCCTCAAACAGTACAACAAAAGTCATGCGATTACAGATGTCCAACGCGGGGAAGTTGTAAGATTTAGTGTAGCATCACATAGAGCCTCGTAAGTTTAGGGTACCGTCTGGAAATGCACCACCGGTCTGGGGAAACTCGAGGCGAGAATATCCCGGATCCGGAGATGTAAATGAGAGTGAGAGTGAAGTGTCGGGCTTCCATCAGCTGGTTCTAGAGTTTGGGGGTGAGGCAACTGACGTAGACAGGTGCTGTCACAAGACAGAGCCTATCGGTGGGCGCCGTGGCTGAGAATCACACGGTTTTTCGAGCTCTTGGCAGTTTAGCTTTTATACGATCAACACTTCATATTTCAACTATGAAACTTGTAAATGAGTCGATATAGCACTCTAGAAACAATTATGGTGTTTTCAGAATTGTATCACAACGGCATTGTAATGGCGCCGAAAGCTACGGAGTATTTCTCCAGAGTTTCGAGTCTGGGGGTGCCCCGATAATGCCCGACATGGGTGGCCCGGCTCTTGTCATTGTCACGGCACACCAAATGGTGATCATCGAACCACCGGCAGTCATAACGTGTGATGCTGCAAAGCCAAGGACGGAAAACCAGGAGAAGTAGCAATTTGTCGATAATTATATAATGGTCATTCATTTCCAGTTCAGTATCTCATCATCAGCACTCACAATTGAGAACACGACAAACAAGACACTCTACAATCAACGCTTCAGCAAAAACCACTACATTCAGCAAAACAACCATCAAAATGCTTCCCGCTGCCACTTCCGCCCACATCGCTCCCAAGTCAGTATCTCCACCTCAACCAATCGCCTATTTATACTAACCAAAACATCAAGGGTCCTCCCCATCGTCTTGACCGTTGGAGGCGCTACAGTTGCAGGCCGCTCGCTGAGCCGTCAATACAACAGGGAGACAATTCGGGCGCAACCTACACCACGAACTCCATCTCAACCTCGATCGAGATATTTCGAGCTGGTTCTTGAGTCTGTTTTCGCATAAACACTTTTTTTACTTTGCTGGATAAAGGGAATGAAATGATTCATGATGGGCGGCGCATTTAATTGAGGCATATTTATTATTGGATAGCCATTTGGAGTTTTGTGGTTTACGAATAAATACTTATTCAATCATCTTTATCTTATACCCAAGTGACCATTGCCTTCAGTCTTTATTAGAGCCCTGGAGATCGCATTCTCATCTGTACGCCGAATGATAACGTAGGCATCGGCGAACATCGCACTCAATGAAAGTTTACCGATGCTGTTAAGCTTATTCCTCCGAATCTGCCCCAGGTTATTCCCCGAGATAACAACGGCCGCCAACCTCTCCATTTCCACCATTTAGCTCAAGCATACTCTACAATCCCATCTTTTTACCTCAACCCTACCATTCAGTTTCCCAGCATGAACCTAGCATTGCTCCATCACGCCAAGCCGGTTTACAGAGAGCGTTCAAGCTAATGTCGGCTTCATGCTTCCCTACTGAGTAATTGAGCGACGATCACGTGCAGACCATGAAGCTTATAGATACACTTGTAAACCACGATACTACTCATGCGCTCTTTTTCTTCCTTGTGCCTTTTCTCGCGGCAAGAATCATGCTCAACTACGCTACACTGGCGGCTACGCTCTGGCTGGCTTGTCCGGCATCAGCGAGCTATGCATTCTACGTTGGCAAGAATCTCACTCAAGATGGGAGTGTTATCGTCGGAGGAACTGGAGAAGAAGTTTCTAGTCATTGGCTTCAGATCTTCCCAGCGCGTGACCATCCTCCTAATTCGACAATTACTGTTGGCGTCACCAAAGATGCTGTGTACCCTGGAGAGCTCATTCAGATTCCCCAAGTGAACCATACGTTTCGGTACATGAGTATGGAGTACTCTGACTTTGAGGGTTTTCCTGCGCCGTTGACGAATGGTGGCTTGAATGAGAAGGGTGTGACGATTCGTGATGTCTGGGCTGATAATCGGGATGAGCTGCTAGAGATGACGCCGAATCCTCAACGTGGTGTGCAGTACAGCGACTTTGCTCGCATTGTCATGGAAAGAGCTAGTAGCGCTTCTGAGGGTGTTGAAATCATTGGAGATCTGATGGCGAAGTACGGTGAAGCGACATATGGTGGCAACTCTCACCTCATTGCTGATAAGGATGAGGGCTGGGTTGTTTGGGAGATGGCTGGCGGCAAGAAGCTCTGGGCTGCTCAGCGTCTTGGTCCGAATGATGTCAAGGTTCTCTACCCTGGATACATCGAGGATTTTCCTACCGACTTCAAGAACAACCCCGACTATGCTGGCTCTGACAACATTGTGTCCTTTGCCGTTGTGCAGGGCTGGTGGAACAAGACTTCAGGCAAACCCTTCAACATCTTTGATGTGTATGGTCCTCAGGATCCTCGATACAAGGCTCGCGACGGAGGCTACAAATTCATGTCGCAGGCTGCTCTGGAGAACGCTACTCTTGCGATGGTTCCTGTGACTGAAGCCAAGATGATGGAGAGAGTACGTGATCCTCGCATTGCAGACGACGAAGCCGGCTATGGTCAAGTCGTCAGTCTTCATGATGGAATCGATCGAGATATGCTGCGGATTTGGAACGCCCCCACCACTTCTGTCGCTGCACCCTTCGTCCCATGGTGGCTGGGTGTTCAGTCCGTCCCTCCTGAGTTCGGTGAGCATCGATATTTGACGACCGGCGCTTCGAGCAGCTTCCTCAACCCAGACTATCAACTGCAAGAAGCTTCCGAATTTGCTGGCCGCATCTTCAAGCGTGTGCTGTACTACATGTGCTCAGACCCCAACAAATACCATCCCATCGTTACGGAGATGTTTGAGAGTTTCGAGAGCGCATCTCGCGTCCAGGTCGAAGGTTGGGTGGAAAAAACAGCGTCGACTATGATCAAACAGGGAGAACGAAAAGCAGCTCAGAGCTTGTTGACGTATTACTCTCATACTCGCGCAGCTGAGGCTCTTGAAGTTGGACATACCCTGAACAATGCTTTGGATGGGTATATCAAGTTGACAGGGAAGTGGCGTGGACCCAAGGGTGATCAGATCAATGATAGTGGTGAGGGTAACGAGACGGTCAATTGTCTTGTCGGATTTGACCCAGACAAACCTAGATATCTCCAAGGCAACAACTAGATGCTCGGAAATAAGTAGTTAGATGGAAATAAGTCTTCCGCCTACAAATGCCTCAGCCCAGCGTATCTCGAGTGAAGCAAATCGCAAATCCAGTGTAACCGGCAAAAGTGGATCTGTTCCGCCTGTACCACGCCGCATCACCGACCTACCGACCCGCTCCGTATGCATAAAAACGGCGGGTAGTCCCCCCGAGCTCCCCGATATCACCAAAGCTCCCTTCTCAGAAACCATATCATGCCTGGTCTCGGACCTCGGAAGTGCCGCCCACCCCGGATTATATAAACCCCGCAGAACCTAGCCTAGTTCCGAACTTCCCCAGATTCGGAACGCGCCAACCAGACGCCAAACATTACTCTTCAGCTTAGATGGAGTCGGAACTGACGACGCAGCCTGCCAAAATGTCGAAACGAAGCTGGTCTGAGGCTGAGAATGGTGAGAATCAGTTCCCGCCGCAGATCTCGAGGAAGGTCAAGGCTTGTACGGCGTGTCGAAGACAGAAGGTATGGCGTGCAAGTGGTGTGATGGATTGTTGCTGATGATGAGTAGATCAAGTGTTTGATTGATGAGAATGGACCGCCTTGTCGACGATGTGCGGAGAAGGGACTTGGTTGTGTATTGGGGAAGAATCTACAGACAATTCTCGATGAGAAGTCACGGTACAGTAACTCCCCATCTATGACAATGCATCTTACTAATAGTCTTCAGATTCACTCAAGATGTTGTTTCAGATCTCGAGCAGATGCACAATTTCCTCAAACAAGTCGCCGGCAGACTGGACCTGGACTTACCACCACTCCGCTCATTCTCCGGATCAGCAGAAGGACCAAAAGATGAATCACCAAGCCTATCAAACAAGGGCCATCACGTCCCCTCACGCGACAACTCACCAAAGCTCATGCCAGAAGACGATGATGTTCCATACGCGCCTATTCACTCTCTATATACCCTCACAAAACTACGCGCTCTTCGGTCGCCGGATGACATGAATTCGCAGCAGAATCCAGGCATGGAAGATGTGATAACAAAACGTCTCATATCATTAGCCGACGCAGAACGACTTTTCAACTTTTACAGAAAACGCCTGGATCCATATATTTACCTCATAGGCTGTCCCTACGAAACGATGCAAGAATGCAGACAGAAGAGCCAATTTCTTCTCGTAGCAGTCCTCACAGTAGCGGCTCTCCACGACTCGACAGCAGATTACATCTACCCCGTGATAAGCTCCGAATTCCGCAGACTCTTCGAGACGTCAATATTTGAAAGACGGCTAAGCCGCGATTATCTACGTGCCCTATGTATCGGGTGCTACTGGCTCAGCGACTTATCATGGATGCTATCAGGCCACGCGATACGAAGAGCAGCTGAATTCGATCTTCACAACAGCTACGACAGAGCTATTGAAAAAGCTAGCACTGAAGATGCGCAGTGCGCGAGGATTTGGTACATACTCTGTGTTTGCGACCAGCAGCTCGCCACGCAGTATGGCAGACCGTCGATAGTGCAGGAGGATCCTTCGACGCAGGGCGCTACGGATTTCTTGCATTGTGCTGTTTCGCATGAGGAGGATAGACGGTTATTGAGTCAGGTGACTGTTGTGAGTATTTTGAGGAGTATTCGGGAGTTGTTTACTGCGAATAAGGGGAAGCCGATACCGAGGCTGCATTTGAACCATATTTCGCATTTTAGGATACAGCTTGATCAGTGGTTTGCGTTCTGGACGGATCAAGTACAAGGTAACTCACTCAGCTCAGTCGTTGTATCGGAACATCGGAGCTAACGTGGATCAGAACGCTGGCCTGGCATCGGTGGCTTTCCAAGGAAAGGCATCATCCTCCACTACAACTTCGCCCAATTGTACCTATACTCCCACGTCTTTCGAGGCCTCTCCAAAGACGAGCATATCCCACACTACTTCCTCGACTGTGCTCTAAACGGCATAACAGCCGCAACAACAATCATCGACAAATTCGTCAACGACCCCGACGTAGCCCTCGGCATCGTGGGGATGCCATCATACGTCCACTCCATGACAGCATTCGCCTCCATGTTTCTAACCAAAGTCGCGACAAAATACCACGATCTCATCGAACGAGATAAAGTGTACGAACTAATCATGGGATTGGTGCAGCAGTTTCGGTCACAGCCAGCTGGGAAGTGGCATCTGGCGAATCTCATGACCGGTGGGCTTGAGAGGATGGCGCAGACGCTCAAGCTAGAGATCCCAGGGGATATGGGCGCGCCGTTGGGGGTTGAGATGGATCAGAATGTTGATGCGGGGATATCGGGAGTTTCAGGGGTTGATGCTTTCTTCCCTGACTTACCGGGCGATTTCTTTTTTAACTACGATATGAGCTTCGAGATGTCTGCGCCTTTGTAGAGTTAGGGGTTGTATGTATACGTCACACGTCGTTTGCCAGACGCAGAAGGATTAAAAAGTCAAGCTGCCAAGTTTCCGGTTACAATAAGAATTTTATACTGAATAACTCAGTAGATGGGATATTTACTACTTTCGATAGTGTGAAACGAAATGAAGGTCTGAACAGAACCATCCAAACCAGCAGGGCACGTCTGCAAAGGAAAATAAGGAAACATGTAAATTCATTTCATTAACGAAAGTAAGTCTAACCATTTTATGGCGTGCTAATGAGTGTGTGATAATTCTTCTAACATCAAAATAATTTCCATTCCATCTCTTCTGGCTTGTAAGCAAAACCCAATTTCTTTAATTGATTATTCATTTCCTTTTTTTGAGGATAGCTTTAGGTGTCTTTTACTTCCTTCTTTTCTTTTTCCCAGAGTGAGAGAGTTTTTTTAATTATTCTTTTCTTTCGAAAGGAGAAGGTGGTGTCTCGGCGTCAGACAGACGTGACGGGTCATGAACACCAACACTAGCGAATTTCATAACGACGGAATTGCTCGTTTAGGCAAAACCGTAACCTCTGAGATTAGCTACTCATGTCGAATCGAATGAATAAAATAATATCCGAGTAAACGGTCTGAACCCCCGGTGGATGTCGGGGAGTTCCTGGGCTGTCATAAACTTGCCATGGGCGTCTTCATCTCCGTCACAATTTGTGATACTTGGAGATATATAGGTACGCCTAGGCTGGAGTGATGTTTCTGACAGGTCGAAGATTCTTTCGCGAAGATTCTTTCATGAGTATTTCCGGTTGCGCGACGGGGACGCTCCCAGGAGGACTCTTTTTTGTTTTTGCAACCATGTATGTTTGGTATTTGTTTGGGACAGTTCGTTTATAACCTTGTCCAAACTTGAAGGCTTTAGATAGCGTGCCACGCCATCCCAGTATCCCTTAAAATCTCCAGGTTCAAAAGCCTGACACGACCTAAGCTCGAGGTACGTGCATTTGGGCATGGGAGGGCCTTGGATCTCGACTTCTGGGACTGTTGGCATTTCAATGCCATCGGTTTTGAAACCTTTGTTGGGTTCTAAGCCACCGAAGTAGATGAAGTGCCTTTCTCCTGTTTTTGTTTTCCCATATTGTTGTCGAATCCTCCAGAGCCGAATACGGCTCTTGCAGATACATGCCCAGATAATTGGGCCTTTGTTCTCCTCCTGTTCGATGTGGAGGATAGTATAAGGATGGCGGTCACCCTTTACATTTCTCCTGACAATTGACCCCGGATAGAGGAAAGCTGGCAGTGTGGCTGGGAAAGACGAATGCGGAGAGTTAAGACTCTCAGCTTCAATGGTGCCATGGCCTGATGAGGCTTTGGGCTGACACTCGATTCCCTGAGTTGGGGAGGAAACAGTAGAGTCAACTGAGTCGATAGACTTGACAGGCTCGACAGGCTTGTCGACAGGCTTGACAGGGACGACAGGGACGACAGGGACAAGAGAGGCGGCAGAGGCAGAAGAGCCAACAGGGGCAATATGCGAACCTTTCTCTCGCTGCTCTGGCCACGTCTCAGGAGTTGTACCGGCATCGAGGGCGCCCTCCCTTTGGAGGACGTCACTGGGGCACAGCGTAACAGAGCTTAGAGGAGCAACTGCATTCTTTGGCTCGGGAAAGGCATCCCAGTGATCTGCCGCTACAACTTCTGTGGACCGGGAGTCTTTGTCTTCCTGGTCCCCCCTAAGATCCGTTTCTGAACCGGAAGGGGCTTTCCTGCGATGGCTTCTATAGCTTCGGTCTCTTTGAAGCCTGTGGGGGCTCTTGTGACGTCCCCGAGGTGGGGTTCTCGTCCTACCATGGCGGTGCCGATGGTGGTCATGACGGTATTTGCGGTCGGGAGGAGGCTGTCGACGCTGTGGGCCGAAGATCGGCCGTTGGAGAGAGGCAATCTGGATCAGGAGAGATCCGAGTTTAATGAATATTTCGCTCCATGTTCGCTTGTGTGCTCCATAGTCTTTATCAGTTCCCTCGCGCTCAGGATCTATCCTGTGCCGCCGCCGATGCCGTGGATTGTCGGACATGTGGACTTGGTCGGTGACGGCGGAAACGCAAGGGAGTGACGTGATGTCTGAAAAATATAATGAGAGTGTGGATAAGTATATTCAGCGACAAAGAGTGTATTGCAGTGCGGTTCTCTGCTTCAGCAGAGCATATATTTTGTTACAAGGATGAAAATGACGAGCCCAAGGGAGATTCGAGCCCAAAGCAGATTGGGCGAGCTCACTTGATCTCGCAGAAGACCTGGTTCAGAGGTAGACCACCTACAACTGCATTTTCGACCCCCATCACATCTGTGTTGGACGTGGACTGTAATGAGTCAACATGGTGTGTGGCGTTTATTAAGAGCCCAAGGAACCCCTTACCAGTCCGTTTCTATTAGGCATAATATGCCTTCTTGGCTTCCATAAACTGTTTTTGACTGGTCCATGTAGTGGTCTGATAATGTGGTGTGGCTGTATTCCTGCTTACTGTTACACAAACAGCCTGCAATGACCCCTGCACCTGCGGCAAAGCCCTGGAGCAAAGAAGCCACTAGAAACTCAAGGAATACTTTCTGGTCGTTGCTGATGTCGTCCATCTTGCATTCTGGGAATGTCGGGGGACTTGGGTTATCGAGAGACAAGCCGAGGAAGTCCGTGTAGCAATTGCTGTGACCCTCTACCATCTGCTGACGAGAATACTAACATATAGAATGGGGTCCTGGCCTATGCTGCTGAGCTTTCAAAAGAGACTTACAGGCTGCAGGGGCTAGAAATATATCGCGTATTGTAGATCACTACGAACCGGTACCTCTGATAGGAGGGATGTATAGCCAAGTAGTAAGTACAGTATGTTAAGAGATACCTATCTGAAGACCCCTGGCAGTAAATCAGGATATCTCAAAAGACGGGTATAACCTCTTTTTAACCTCTTAGAAAATCAGTTACTGCCTTTGTACAGTATGGGACTATAATAGTAAATTTCTAGTCCCTGCAGCCTGTATATAATTAGCACAGTTGATCAAGTCATGGAGGGGAATTCGGAATTAAAAAAGGGGCCAAGAGGTCACCGGTCGAGTTACCTCTCTGCACGACTATTTACAGACGACAGTCAGTTGAGAGCTTTAATCCGCTTTTGAAAAGAGAGTGTTATCTGTTCCGCGAAAGGAAGCACTTGAATATTGTTAATATATACCGTGTAGGGTTGACATGGCATGCGTGGGCTGCACCAACAATCATACAGCCCTATCAGTGGTTACAGTTTAAGTCCTCAACTTTTACACCTTCCAGATAAGGGGAATATATTTTCTCATAGATGTGTATTTGCCAAATGTCAGTTAGTCCAGATCAGTCTAGTTGTCCTGACAAGGATCAGATGCTCAATCTGAATAGAAGGAACTGTGCTCACACCCTCATATGATAGGATCATGGCTCTCTTGACACTTCGCGATCAGATAATTTTTCTATACCATGAGGCTAGGGTTTCTGCAAGCCGAAGGCTGTACAATTCGTGATTATTTCTTCCAAACTCAGCAAATACTCGATTAGTAACATATAGCATGCTGTTAAGCCTCTCTCGCTATATTATTCCTCTTTAATGTCAACTGGAACCCGCCTGCATGGGACTCTGACCCCTCTAGCCGAATTGGACCAATATCCTTATGCTCCTTTGTGATGTAGGACATTGTGGTTAGATCGTGGTGATCTTCAATCACACGAGACGCATCTGTAAACAATATGGCCACAGGATCCGCTATCACTTCTCGGTCACACGAGCGGTGCAAAAACTTAAAGATTACACCAGTCAAGGGTAGTAACAACGTAATGGCGAACCATGAAAACAGTCTCCCGAACGACACTGACGCTTGGAGCCGAGGCTCAGCAGGGCGGAGAGTCAAGGAAGCAGTGTCAGTATCCTCGAATGAGGCGTGAAACATGTCCCAATTTGACATGTAAGCGTAGCGAATGAGCGTCGCGGTGTAATTGTTCAGGTTCTCCCAGGTGGGTAGCATAGATGTGTTCATAACCGCAATCTGGGCCATAGCATCAGGCATAACCCACAAGGAATCTTTCGTCCAGATAGACGGCTTGATAGCTTTGACGATCTCGGCCTCTCGTGACGCTGAGATTGTTTCATTCGCTTTTGGGGTATCGATGTGGTATTCGACGACCCGGGGAGCAATGTACACACTCTCTGGGGCTTGGATCTCACCGGCTGTGAAGTAGACTGTGCCCCAGACCATGCAGTTCTCGTCATATGCATTGGCGTTGGCTTGGAAGACGCCGGGGAGGCTCTTTGTCAGGTAGGAGGAATTTCCAAACGCAGTCCCGTAGATCGGCTTGCAGCTGACAGAGGTCTGCCGGCCAAGAAGTAGAAGGACGGTCATATTGCCGCTCCATTTCGAAGCCTCCGGAAAGGTTGACGTGCCCTTTTTTCTGTCTGTCTTGACTGTAGAGTTCGATGCCCAAAGATCCTGGCTGAAGGCGACTGCCACACCGGGCCGAACGTAGGCAAATAGGCTATCACCGAAAGTGCTAAGCTGGTCGGCTTTTGACCAAGCGTATTCCCAAACATCATCTGGGGGCTGATCATCAGACCAGGTGATATTGTGGATGTAGATACAGGGGAGGGTAGCGTTGGCTAGTGTTGAGTTGACTGGCGCAGTGGTAGGCATTAGGTGCCGACACGCGAGTCCTCCAGGTGCTGAGATTGAGCCCCCTTTGGAATATGCCGAGTCGGTGGCACCCCAAGCAATGCTGGCCATGCCGCCCGCCCGACGAAGGGCAGTCTTTCTGTCAACACCTTGTATATTATAGTAATACCATTTGGTAGATGATGCAGTTGGGTCACCGCTCCTAACAGTTGTCGCAGGCGCGTAGTCGAGAGCAAAGTTCCAATCCACGCTACCTGAGAAGAGGGGCTCGATGAAGTTCTGGGGTAGGATGAATGCGAAGATGAGGGCAACGAGCCACTCTCTACCCCTTGGAAGCTTGAACCATGGCCAGCCACCGAGAACCTCAGAGAGCTGGCTGATCTTGAGTCCTCGGTACTCCAGGAGGACGAGTCCACATCGCCAGCCCACAAGCCCCGTCCACAGCGCACCGATGTAATCCATGATCTTGGTGCCAGCTGAAAGCAGTGTCGTGATATCTGAGACTCGAAATACATAGCTCCCATTTGCTTGAGTCCTCTTCTGTCCAGAGTATGCTAGAGCATGATATCCGTTCACACCCAAGGCAACGAGGAGCGTGATGGCGATGCTGAGAGCCAGGTGACCGAACAGCGGGAGCCAGATCGATACGAACAGTTTTCTCTTACTAAACTCGCTCGTTCGAACCGATGGGCGCTGGTGCGGTGTTGTACCTTGAGGTTCCGTAGCCTATAGTTGCGGTATTTTGGTTGGCCAGTTTGCTCGGGTTAATGAGAACATTGGGTTAGATATGGATTGTACTCACGGAGGATGGGACTTGAGTGTCCTCTCGAACCTCCTCTTGGAGAGGGGTCTTTTCGGTAGATTGGGCTTCCATCAATACAGGTTTCTAACGACGGAATGAAGACGTAGGCAAACATGATCGGTGCATATCAGGCCTGTTGGGCACTTATATTCATCACAAGTTATCTGAACTGCCGACATTTCAACCTGAATCACTAAATTTGTGGCTGGCTGAAAGACGGCAGGCCCGAGAGCGACGACAGGGTTCCGGGCTTATCGATTGGGTTTGCTGACTCTCAGACCCCGAGCCCGAAGAGTTACTCACCCAATCGACAGAGGAACCAGGGCTACACATTGTCATCTATGGCTAGCCCCAGGCTCCCCATGGGGCCAAGGAGGCGGCTGTTTGGCAGAGGTCATTAAGGCCTCACGGGAGTGCAACAGGGATTAGTCGATAATCCTGGTATGATAACGGGGGATGCGGCATTAGTTGACAGCTGTCGCGTGGGGTAGATCAGGCTGTGACGAACGGTAGCAACTGTTTAATTTAAGACTTTTCTTACTTTTGCTGGCTTAATAGCTTATTATGCTAAGATAAACTGACTAGAGCCTTATTAGAAAACCCGGGTAGCCTTATAGATAGTCCATCTTATAAATCATCATCTGAGAGCTCACTAGGCAAAGGCATAGCGCCACCGCCATGTCCAAGATCATAATGATAACAATCGCCTCCGCCTATAATCCTAACAACTGTGTCTATCCAGCAACAGATCGTCGGATCCTGATATATAAGGTCGACCCCAACGCTCTTAAACAAGGTCTGAGGGTATTCATCGCAGGCAGGACCAGCATTGCTTCGAATTTCCTTGAGCTGCGGGAAGGCGAAAGCCGCATCCTTGGACAAGATGAGCAGATCATCGTACATACGGCCATCTGGTGTCGGCGTCCGTTCCGAGAGATCAAGAGAAGTGATGCTAGATGGAAGAATGTCAAAAAGAGACTTGACTTTGCATTCTGTCCGGCAACATGTGGGGGATCTGGGGCCGTAAAGAAAATATGTGTGGAGAAAGAGGCTCTTGAGTTGGGTGAATTGCTTTAAGCTGGGAATTTTATGATCCCCCTTGCTATCGGTCTTTAGCATGTTTAGGTGCAGAGTCTCAAGACTGGCGTGGAACCTTGGTATGTCGAGGAGGTTTACCACGCCCACTATGTCAGAGTCGAATGAAGTGTAGGAGAACGTGGATAGAGTTCCGGTACATGCTGATAGAAGGTGCTCTATGGCAGGGGCACCAACGGCATCTTTGGATCGAATGTGAAGGTTCCTCAGGCAAGGCATATTCGGGAACTCAGATAACGCAGAAGTCACCAACGTCTCAAGCCCCGGCGCCCGAGCAAGTAAGTTGGGTAGAGCATGTTCGATCTCTAGTATCTTGAGAGGAATAGATCTGACGCCCATATTGTCGAGAGTAGCAGGCGACACATCGAACCGCCACCGGCGACCTTCCTCGATACTAATGTGACTCAGATTCGGAAGGATAGCCACCAGAACGGACAGAAGTTGGTCTCCGACTATGGGGAGAAAGTCTTGAGGCCTCAAAAATGTATAAGTACGTGTCCCTAGAAAAAAGGCCCGCTTTATGGCAGATAAGTGAGTTTTGCGAGTTTTGCGATAGAGCACCTGGGAACTGCTTCCTAAAACGCGTGCACAGGTATCGAAAGCCTTTCGGCTTTCATCAAAGTCGAGTGATTCAAGCAGGCGGCTTTTCAAAAAGAGAGTTTTGACAGAGCGAGCCAGGTCTGGGCGAGAGGCCATGGTCAGAAGAAATGGCTCGAGGCGTCGCTCCCACGGATTCGGAGGATCCCAAGTCGGGTAGTAGGGATCGAAGGAATGATGTAGTGTCTCCTGAGCAGAGGCCCGGAAATACCGTGAGACTAGACATAGATTGTACAGAGCTGTATTATGTTCAACTCTGTTTGAATCCGGCGGTGCTCCATAAGGGCACTGGTATTCGTTGCAACAATGGGGGCAGAAATATGCGAATATGGAGCGCAAGATCTCTGGGGCGAGTTGTGAAAGGTAGTCCGCCGTGGACTTTTCGAGTCGAGTTCTGGCCATCTTCAGGCAAACTTAGGACCTCAACCAGGTGAACTTAGGTGAGAGTTAACTAGCCTTTGGACTGAATATCTCCAAGATCTAGGTAGGTAAGCTTGGAGTCTGGAGTCTGCTTATTCCTGGAGTCGGGCGGGCTGTGAATAGAGACGGGAATGTTGTACTGGGCGATCAGGCTTCTACAGCTGTCTGCCTGTGATAGGCACAGACTCCAAGTGAAACGGCCCCACTAAAGGTCACTGATTACAGGGTCGTTGTCTCACACCACAGATCAGTTGTTGGCTGTTACCTTTGATCCTTGCTCTAATCACAGGTATCAGGCGACAAAATGAAATCAAATGGTTTGATTGGTGCCCTCTTGACCTGCTGGGAGGCACAGGGCAGATATATATGTGACATTTCACCACGCAGAGAATCACATTATCACAACACTTAGTATCCAAAAGCATCTTGGCAAACCTCGAAAGCTCCTCATAATAGTCTCCCTTATCTCTATCACTCCCTCTTCTGCAGGCAAGCTCCTCTCTTTTAGTTTGAATCGCCTGGCTTGACTGTCCTATGCGGTTTTGGCAGAATGCCTGCACGTCCAGGCATTGCCACTCGATCCATTGAGCGGGGTAAGTGTCGATGCTCTCCTAGTTAGTACTCTCGAACTGTTCGCAAGGTCTTGGTCGCGACCCCGAGAGCTCGTCTCGGCTTATTTATCCAGGGCAAGGCCCAAGCAAGGCGCGCATCGCACCTGAGCTTGTCAAGGTGGGTGTCTCCCAGGATCACGGTAAAACTATTCGATGCCTCCTCGAGGACATTGACCGCCTCCCTATCCTTATTCCCGATAAAGTACAAGGATATCCCGAGATGAAGCATTGCGTATGGCAATCTTCCTCCCTCGTCCTCACTGATGTAACGGCCAATGAGAATCCTGGCTAATACTTCGCCCGTCTCATACTCTCCGCAGGCGATACTAGCCTGACAAAGGGCATCCAGGCACTCAATCTCAACTGGGCAAAATTTCTCTTGAGACCCGATGGCTATGAAAGCGCCCTTTAATAGTTGGAAACCTTGGATAGCATGCTGGCGTCTCGATCGGGAAATGAGAATATTACCCATGAAGCGTATTGGGTCAATAAAGCTCGGAGAAAGCGGGCCGACGAACTTGATTACTGGCAACAACCACTTGATCACGTCTGCGAGCAAAGCCTGTGTGAAGTCACTCCATCCCTCGCTTTCACTTTCTAGATGCGGGAGGAAGTTATCGGTGGCCTCTTCATCAACTCCTTTAGGGAAGAGCTTAGCCACGCATATGATCTTGTTCCTCAGGTTATCTAAAGAATGCGCGTCTTTCAAAAACGACCGGAATGATAAAACCTCTGAGGCCAGATCCTCAATCACCTCAGAGAGACTGAGATATTCTTTGGCGAAATCAAAACCATATTCATCGCCCGAATTCCAGATATTGAGCACAAGTTTGGCGATTTGCTCTTCCCACAGAGGCATGTCCCATGACTTAATGAGATGCATGACCGTACCTTGCCAGTCTTCGAGGTTAGTCCCATCTGTAGGTGAGTGTCTCGGTGAATTATCGGAGTGAAGAATAATATCAGCAAACAGCCGTTCATACTTGCTCCTGGTCTCGCAAGGAAGCCGAAGACGCACGCAATCCTGAACCATGACTGGTATTTCCCCGACATAAAATCCGTCCTTGTCAAGTTTATACTCTTGTATGAGCCCAAGATCGTAGAACTCTGCCAAGATGTCAGAGAATGCACGCGAGTCCCAGGCTTGGAGACATGATGTAACAAATGAACCCGGCTCTTTCGCCATGGCATCAGTCGTGCCCCACGGCTCCATTATGGAGCAAAATGATACGAGGTATGATTCTGAAAAGCTCCGAGATGGAAGGTAGGCAAAGAGATTCAACAGGTCATCTTTATGAGCCTTGGGGGCACCTCCCACCTCGTTCTCGAGGTGGCTGAGAGTGAGATCCCAGGCCGTGAGAAGTGTGATGGCTATGGGTATGCCGGAGCCTTCCTGGGTGTTGAAGTACTCTATTGTCGATGATTTTGCGAGAAGAAGCCTCGCCCGATCCTCACGTAAACCTGAAAAGGCGACAAAGTCCAGTCGGGAGCGATTAATGTACGAGCCCGCCTGGACGATAGCAAGCGGATTCTTCCAAAGAGCTTCGAAGATTTGACGGGCAGCGGTAAGGCTTTGGCGGTCCTGTTGTTTGGGTAGAGTGGTTTTGGATGTTTGTAGTAGAAGTTCCAGTGCATCGCTTTCGTTCATGGCTGCCACTTCTATTGACGTTTCGCACGAAATGAGATTCACAACATCCTGACGACGGGTTATGATGATGACAGAGGCGTTGGACGAGGATGGAAGGTACTTGTGGAACTTGGGCATAGAGCGAGGCCCGTCAAAGTTATCAAACACTACCAGGGCGTGGTTAAGTTTTGCGGTTTTGGTTGCCCTTACCTGCAGCAGTAGCGCTGATCGCAATCAATCAATGTGGCGACATGTGGTTGGTATCTTAAGTTCTTCATTTTCAAGTGATCTTCAATAGATATTGTATAACAAAAAGGTCTATGAAGTATAATAATTAATAGTATATCATATACTTTAAAATATCACATCAAACTCTGGTAACTGCAATAGCCAAGTATGCATGTAGGAAATTGAATGTTTCTAGTCCCCCCAAGCTTGCATAATGATGTTTAAATGGTATGTAACTTCCTCTCATAAGCTACTAGCCTGATAACGTGGCTTCGCTATGTAAGGACTTACACCAGCTTAATATAAACAGAACGGTTATTTATAATACGTGCTGCAATATAGAGTACCTGCGTTTGTTATTCCTCATAGGAGATACAACCAGTCTCACTTTATCCCCTATAAAGCTCATATACCAGAATCTAGCTTGTACCGAACACAGCCAACATCTTCTGAAGCTCCCACGCCACCATTCTCGTCTTCGCCTGTGAAATAGATTAGAACTCTGAAAGATACTGCATCAATCTCGTTTAATACTCACATTTATACCGAGCATTTAAGAGGACCATAACGCAGCGATGAACACCCATCGACAATATCCCTTCATCGAGCGGATCCAAGACGTTGACCTTCTCGTTCTTCATACTGCACCCGTCGACCCAAGACCATGTAACACGGTGCTTGGTACTGTCGTCGTCCTTGAATTCCTTCACATACGGCTTCGAGTCAGGCGTCATGTATAAATTCTCTTGGTCAGCGTGTGTGCATGCGTCGAAAATCGCATCATAAGCAGCGCCACTTGAAATGTCAGCATGACCCCGAAAGTCGTCCTCGTTATTGCACTGCAGATTGTGGATCTCGAGCTTTACGTCAGCCTTCTTGGAGACGCGATAGCTGTAAGTCCCACAGCCGACATCTATGCTTCCTTTTGTAGCCAACCCGGCAAACCAAAGTGACCTGTGACACTGGCTTTGAAGCTGTGAGTATGCTTTGGAGCAAGAGAGATCGCAGGAGCCATCACCGCCAGTCCACTCAAAGTCGAATTCATGTGATGAGCATTTAGACTGTCGGCGCCAAAGATTTCTTCTCTCTGCGCCAGTTGCGACAGCCCTCTTGGAATCTCCCGCAACATCCTGGTACGTGAGGTTTGTTGAAACAGCCTGGTTATTACCCTCTTTCACAGTATCGCAGAAGGAGGCCGAAAACAACTCCATGCAGTCAGCATCAGCGCCATGGGCATACATATCGCAAGAGGGCTTAGGTGGCTCAGTGTCTGTGCTGTTGCCTGATATGCCCCATTTCTTGAACATTTCCGCAAAGTACCTCACGGTATCTTCATCCATGGGGCCCAGATCAACATCCTCCCTTCCGAAGTTATCTTTCTCTAACACACCGGTAATGCGAGGGATATCTGAGGCGATTGTAGTGGTTGTTGTGCTTTGTTCACTGGAAACGCATCCTGTGACCGGGGCACAACTACCGATTCGGGTGCTGCGAGAAGTAATCGTCAGTTATATACAAATGCATGTTCGAGAAGGTAATTGGTTCCTTACCTCGTTCCCTCGCCGTCTTCGCCTGTGTAGTATGAGAGAGTCAAAGTGCACTTTGGTGGAGCAGTGGTAGTGCACTCTTCCTCCTCCTCATCATCCTCATCATCATCGTCGTCGTCGTCGTCTTTGTTATCATCCTTGGGGTCATCTTTACCAGTGTCTATTGGCTTGGGATTGCCGGTCGGCAATGGTCCACCTTTGAGACCGTCAATTCGGATCCACTTCCAACCTCCAGGGAATATGGGGACAATGGCTCCGTCATCATCAGTCTGAGTTATTGTTTTGGTGTTGTCTGTATGTTCAGGGTCTCGGACCGCACTCCAAGTTATGACCTGGTCATCACTTCCTGTGACAGTCGCTTGCTCTCCTTCTGTTTCCGTTCCAGGAGCAGCTGTCACAGGCGGCCCATCATCATCAGAAGTGGACTTGGGATCGGCAACTTCTGAGGTAGCCTGGGAGGGCACAGGAACGTCCTGAGTTACAGTGCTTTCTATATCTGAAGGCGCCGGGGTCTGAGAAACGACGGGCTGATCGTTGTCATCAATGGCTGATAGGTCCTCATCTTGACTGGCAGATGTTGCAGCAGATGAAGCACTGCCACCGACATCACTGAGACTCTCGGGTGGCTGATCTGCCAAAGGAGTTGATGATTCTCCAGGCAAAGGTATAACAGGCCTTGGCGGGCCGTGGGTCACAAACACAAGCGATGTGCTTGCAGGATCTTCAGGTGGAAGAGGAGCATCCTGAGAAGAGATAAGACACGGCGCAAAAGATGCCAGGGCCAGGAGTTGTAAAGCTGAGGACTTCATTGTCATAAGGAAGTGTCAAAGAGGAGCGAAGATGTGATGAATGAAGAGAGAATAGCAAGGAAAACGAAGTGATTGTATAGGCTTGATATTGCAATATTTACCATGGCTACCTGCCATGTTACTATTTTAGAACCGCGGAAACCGGTAGCTTCCAATTATGGAGAGTATCATGCGGGGAGCGGCCCCCAAAAATGAACAGCACAAGAAGACATCTTGGCATGCAACAACGGCTGCAGGTGAAATTAAGATCAACAAGACAATAGTCACTATATCCCGCAATGACGTGCCAGCTCAACTTTGATGATTCAACTATTTCAGGCAGCATTGTCATGAGTTACGAAGCCAAGCAGGGACGTGGGTTGTACAACATGTGGCACGGATATATAGATGGATCTTGTCCTGGATCAAGGCCTCCAACGTGACCCATGACAAGCTATCAGTGGGGTCTGTTTGTTGGTTGTTGTTGGGGTCCAAGAAACAGGAAAAGGTTTCCCGGTTTCATGATCGGTTCACAGACTCTACGACTGTAAAAGTGTTCTGTGTATTCTTCTTCTGTAGCGGAGAAAAGAAAACCGATAAGAAAATGAGTAATGCAACTTAGTCTAAGCTACGAGGACGTTTTTCCTGGGAACCCTGTCCTTCAGGCCTGTTATGATGAAGTCTTCATTGCCTCTCATCCTTTACTTAGTCACTTTTACAGTTGCTGCTAAGCCTAAACTCTCTGACTCATGGGAGATTGATGATAGCTGCGATGGTGCAAGGCTCGAGAAGCTCGAAGATGCCCACTCAGAGATCGTCGAGCTTCTCACCAAAGTCACGAATGACCTCGCTCACGTGCAGCAGCCGCGACCTGCAACTCGCTGGGGTGGACCAAATTGGGACCGCATCGCACGGAACCTGGCTGGCCTTTTTGGCCTCCAATCTGGCGATGCGCTTCTCGAGAACGGTTATGACCCAGGCGAGCAGTACTTCAGCCAGGTGCTCTGTGAGTCGAACAAGAGAATATAGCGCCATTGATGACCACAATCAGTGCTGATATAGCGACTTAGATACCTACGACCGAATGTATCAAGCCCTCGTGAAAGGGCAGACCGTCCAAGAAAAGGGATACTCTGGCAAACTCAAGGACCTAAGCGAGCATAGTAAACCTCTGCTATTGTGTGGCGATACAAGGAATTGGGAATACTTTGATCAAAATGCTCCAGATAAGTATGACAAGTCTAAAAAAGTTGTAGAGGTTTTCAAAGAGGCGGCGAACCACGGTGGCGCTCTCATCCGCGGAAACCGCTATGTCGAAGCGTCACCTGGGACCAGAAATCCCGGCTTTTGCACAGGCAAATACGGCTTCACATTCATACATCACGACTTGATCACTATTTGTGATGAGACCCTCCAATTCGACGTTGAGAAGTGGCCAGTGCGCGATGGCGGTGAGGTGGTAGCAGACACGGATCTTGATGGAGCCCATTTCGGTAGGCAATCTCTCGTCCGTGTCATGCTCCACGAGTTTGCGCACTACTATGGCTCGAGGATGGAAGGGAATGAATTGAAAAAGCGTAGGTTACAGTATTGAACATGTCAGCCAGTCCTGCACACGCTGATGATATCTGCTGCAGTCCCAGACCAGCAAGCCGTTGATACCAACGGATGTTTCTTATGGACAGGAGATCGAAATAAGTCAGTACGCGAGCCTCGGACTGCAGATGGAAGAGATCCGCCCCTCCAGGTTGTTTGTAGGTGTCGCACGACAGGAGCTTGTCATCAAGTTGTTTATGGTCAGATTCTAAATTATCCACAGTTGGACTCAAATCTTGCACCAATCTCAACAAAAATCAAACCGGCAATAAAGATGCAGGTAGGTAAAAGCCCGTTGGATTTGAGAAGCCGAACATCTAATATCTAAAGGTAAATTCGAGAAAGATGGCGTTTATGTGCCCGGTACGCTCGGAAACATGGGCCCATCAGTTGCGACCTGGACGGCTGAAACATATGCTTATTTTGCCATCATATCGTAAGTGTCGTATTTACACTCTCTTTCTATTGCTCTAATGGGAATATCTTCAGGTATCTAGAGAAGTGGGAATGGCCCATACCGGAAGAGGCTGGACCACAAACAACAACGGCTGGACCACTTCCAACGCCTTGATAGAGTGATGGTAGGCTGTTAACGTCTATGGTTAGGCTGCAAGTTGGATAGCTCTATTGCCAATACTTAGTTAGAAATAGTGCAAGTCTTGGAACTTTTTCTCTAATTTTACAAGTCCTTATTTGCAATCAGCATCTGGAAATGAGTCTCGTAGTCATCGATGAGCTAGGTTCTCTTTGCTGGAATAAGCTCACAGCCAC